TCTGTTTGCATATCAAAAATCTCTTAGATAAAGGACGGCTGCCTCCACATCAAAGTGACACTACATCGAGGCGATGAACAGGCGTATGTACTCCAAGGACAAAGGGGCTGGGTAACTCTGCGCCCGCTTTTGGCAGGTCTTCAGAGCAACTGAGTGGTTTGCTTGAGCTAAGCCCACTAAGCGCAGTTGATCTCCAATCCATTGGGAGGTCCCTATCCCTTGCCAGCTTGCCCATTGAGGAACCCACTAGGCGCGTGCCAACACACTAGCCAGACTGCTAACTGGCGGACTGGACAATAGAGGCGGGCCGTAGCGTGACGGTGTCCACTTTCTAGGCGTTCTACCTTGGACCCTCAGGACCCTGTCAGCCAGTCTGTTTCGACTATCACCTGTGAACCAGATCTACATAGTAAGGGCCTCTCCAACTAGCGATCCAATCATACTGGAAAAGGGGACAGCTCGTGGATTTCCCACCCTGGTATCCCCAAATTCTTTTATTTCGTTTCAGCCTCAGCCGTCTATTTCTTCCTCTCTCACCTGCACGTTACATTGCAGTATACGGATTTCTTCGCTCTTCTCATTTTTGGATCGTGTCGGTATACTTTGTGTTTTTATTTTCAGTGGTATGAAGGAACTATTATTATTATTACTCCAGTGTATACCTACATTAAAGTCTTGGATCCTTACACTCAATTAATTTCCTTTTCCTAACCCACCTGGGCAGCTTGACGTGCCACCTTTTATACCTTTTAGCCCCGAAGTCTATCCAGCCATCTACGAGCATTCCCGCATTCTTCTCCGCCCCGTCCGATCCAGTGGGCACTAATCAACTAGATCGTCGTATCAAGGCGGCCCGTAAACTTTAAATCATGGCCGACGACGATCCGGCTACCAGAGGGCCGGCAGCCTGGTGGTTTTCCTCCGACGTCCCGGGCGCTGAGGGCCCCTGGGGCTGGCGTCTCGACGTTGTTACCCTGCTCGCGGTCATTGGCGAATCGTCCATTGCCGAGCATACCCAGACTATTACCGCCAGCATCTTCTGCCTTTTCCCACGTATCATCCCGGCTCCGCAAGCCTTCCTAAAGCCTTCTCGGCCTCCCCGTCTGCCCGAAACCACAGCAAAGATGACCGGCGTTCACAGCGGTGTTGTTCTCGACACCGTGGGGTTCTTTGCTAATATTATCCACCCGCTCGACGAGCTGCCGGCCTTTAGCTTCAAGGTTCTAGAAATTACACATAACGACCGCAACAATGCCGGCGGCATCGAGGTTCCGCGGATATTCACCAACGGAACCAACCTCTTTTCGAAATTACGCACACGCACCAAATCCTCGACCGATTCGCCACGCATAGTACACCCTCCCTCCATACCGCGAGGACCTCCATCAGATAATGCTAAGGAGACGACAAGAGACACACCTGCGTCGAATGCCGGGTACAGCACAAGCGCCGACCCCGAAGCTGCTGTACCGGTCCAGGGAATAACAAGACGGATCACTATGAAGCAGAAAATACAAGACTTTGCAGCTAATCCGACGCTAATTAATGATTCTGGAAGGCCTGCAGTGCCTGCTACTTTATACTCGCCTGTTCACGTTCTCGCCGTCTTTTCTGTCATGTTGACGGTTAGCATCATTGGGTTCGCTGCTCATTATCAGGATGGCACGGCAATCCTTGCCGTGTCGTTGATTGCCTTTGCGAGCTCCGTCGTCGGCTGGGCCTCGTGGTGGAAGCCCCTCTTAATGAAGCGTAGCCACACTAATAAGGTCCCAAGAGGAGATGTCATCATCCGCACACGTGAAGGGGCCTTCCTTCTCGTCAAATGCACCGAAGAAGTAGCACGCGAACTCTACTCCGGCACGGAAGAATGCGAATATCACGTCGGCGGACAAGCGTACAGGGCACTGATGGGGCTCGGCACCTGTCTGCTTATGATAGCGGTTATCCTGCTGGGCAACTGCAAGTGGAACTCGCAGATCTTTATCGGCGCCAGTTACATCACGCTGAACGGGCTGTACTGGGCCATGGGGTTACTTCCGAAGAAATATTTTTGGGACCTGAGCCGGTACAAGATCGAAGATAAAACTCGCAAAGTGGCCATGTATGCCGACAAAACGACCAGTGAAGACCCACGGGAAGGCATCGCTAGCTACACGCGAACGCTATGGTACGCCATCCGGGAAACGAAACGTACGGCTTGGATCGAGAGGAGCGGCGCCGCCCCTGCTACGCCCCAATGGCTTAAGTGGCTTGCGGAGGCCGAACGGGCTGCGAATAATGGGGAAGATGATTGGCCCTCGGTCGCCCGCAAGGATGAGATCATGAAAGTGGACGACGACGGTGGGAGAAGTCCGGTAACCGCAGAACCGGCGCGGGCTTTCGACGAAGCAGAGCAGAAGGCACCATTTACCGAGGTACAACCTCGCGACTGGCGTCCTGGCGACACCACTCTCTAGACGGGCGTATTTTTTTCATCTGGGACTTGATTTTTTTTTTTTTTTTTCCGAAAAAAATCGAATGTGTTGGATACCCACTTACGAACGAACAAGCGTGCAAGTCTCTGCATAAGAAAGAGGGGCCGCTGATGCCCCCGTTGATTGAGGACTTCATAAGAGATTGGCTTTTTTGAATTGAGGTCCAGGGAATTGGTATGACTAACATGAATCTTGCTTTCTCCGGCTGTTTTATCTATCTGCATTGTTTATGAAGCTATATATCGCTTTAGCATTTTTACCACTGGAAGGGCATATTTTCCTCCCTATCTTACCGGGTACTTTCCCACATATGGCATATACTTGGATTTGGAAAAGGAATTTTAGAGTTAATTGGGGGACACTATATTGGACATGAGGACTATGGGGGACTTGATATATTATCCAGCGCGGAGTTTTGGCATAGGATATGAGGCAGGTTTCGGCTTGTCTCTAATGATGAGCTCTTGTAACGAGCGCAATATAATGCTATGCATTTCGAGTGTTTCCCCAGATTCGCTACGCAATCGGTGATGAGGGGTCTGATATGATGGACTTCGAACTTCCCATTCATCCTCGCAAGGTCGGTACTAACTCCTTAGTTAACTGAATGATTGAGGCATCATTGTTACCTAGAGCCGGACGGCTCCATATCACTAGACCGCTTCGTCTCTCCTATTTTCGCGTTAATAATTGTTTTCTTTCCATTATTTAGTGAAGTGTCCCTACGTTTGGCACCTAATACAAGAGTTAAATATCCCAAATCGTGCCTTAATCATGACGCCTACGATCATAAGTACTACCTTCAGTATACTCTGTTGAAACCCCATAATTAATTCCTCGGTATACCTTTCACGCCCCCCGAGTGTAAGGTTTCATCCCGAGTACGATGCCATAAATACCCGTCGAGTATTAGTCCGTAGCTCCGACCCATATTGCAGGAGAACAGCGCAACATAAGGAGACAATTGAAAAATCTTATAGAAGGCCGTTGAATCTTCCAGGACCAGCCCCTTGAGGGACCAGTTCGGAAAACAGTTTAGTAGATACTGTCTATCTCCCATTGACTCACGCTTTTGCATTGTGGTCGTACAACTGTTTCAGACCTACTCATATTCGTGACCGCGTCGCCGTTGCCATCGCACAAGCACTCCCCGGCAATTCTTAAACGTTATGTAGGTTCTTGAGTCTCACAAACAATGTCTTCCCTAACTCTCGTAAATTCTTTGACGTGGGCCTTTAGCATCGCACGAAGGCGTACGCGGCGGGAACTAACAGGGCTTTCGTAATCCTACAGTGCTTCGGCAGGTATTCCACATCCACTTAGGCAAGTGGTTAAACTGCCTCCCGATGGATAAGCCTTTTCTACCACTAGCATTAGCTCAATAGGCAACGAGTAAGGCGATGCTCAACACCCCCAAAGAACCCCCTGAAACAACTATAAACTAACTTACTAAGGTAACTTTGTAATTAATATCATATTTTCACATATAACACCGTTGTCTATCATACGCTTCACGCCGCGTTTTGCCACGGCGAAGCGCTTAACAACAACTGTCAGGCTTTGGCCCTCCTAGCCCTTAGCCTTCCTCTAGGTCCCCTGGAAGGCATCGTGGCCTAGGATGATAGCCTTGCAGCTATCAGGATAAGGATTGGCTCCCATAAGACTCTCCTAATAGACGACCTCGTAGCTGTTAGATTCGTAGCTCTTGGTGCAACAACATGGTTGTTACCCTTATCGCTTGGTCGGCCTCGTGACACTCCCCGATCCACCGTTTCCTGACATACCACTTCCAGATCTACCACCTGGCCCGGCATCTATTGATTCACCGCTTCCTAAAATACCGGTCCATAGCCTACCACTTTCCGATATTTCATTCGCCTATCTATCGTTTCTCAGTCCACCTCTCTTACACGAAGAGAGTGAAATAGATAGATATAAGAAGCTATATGAGAATATGTCCATTGCTCAAAAAGGCGCCGCATGGGTTGATTTACAAACAAGACTAACAGCATTAGAATGGGCAATGAAAGAAATAGATACTAAAATAACGCCTCTTCGAGAAATCATGGAACACGAAGAAAATGGAACAACTCTTAGCCTTGATGATATGTTCTTTTGCTAACTAAAAAGCCTGGTTCTCTGCTCCATGAAAGTTGCCGAACACAATTACTTATGGAAATATACCAATGTCTCGTATGCCCATATGTACGCATCGCAAGACGTACCTTGGTGTACTTGATGTTGCAGATGCTGTGAATTCGAGTGCTATATGTGCCTTGTTAAAGGCATCGGTCGAAGCAGCCCGTATAAGAAAATGATTCAGTGCTAATGAAAAACAACAAAAATAAATATCAACGTCAAAATGGTCAAATCATATAAGGGAGCGAGTATCTTCTTAAGCATTTTGTGATGCACTTAATGAAGCTTTAGGCAAGTAACCGTATTCGTATTTGCTTTATACCGTTAGTTGACGCTAGCCGTGCATTGCTAGAGTACTTGAAAGTAAAAAAGCCAGCAAAATCCCAATCCGAATTGGTGTAGTGGCTAACATTTGACGCTCTCATTGGCATCCCACCAGTAAGTCCCGTCAAGCCCGGGGTTCAATTCCCCGATTCGGAGACATTGTGCTTTTCTAAGTACACAAGCTCGGCTGGCTCAATGGTAGAGCATCAGACTTCTAATCTGAAGGTTGCGGGTTCGAGTCCCGCGTTGAGTGCTTGTATCTTTTTGAATTTTTTTGAAACCATTTTTCCTCAATCTTAAACCCTCCATTCAAGCTTACTTTTTCACTATCATAGTAACCGACCTCGATATTAATTGTACAATGTCATCAAGCCAAGACATCGCAAAATTTTCTAATTCCAAGAAGCCAAGATATACAAACCAGACGTACCTGTCATTCCCTGATGATAAAATTAGGTTCTAATACTGACATCTCCGAGCTATTTGCTAGTGTGTCAATGTCTCGGCTGTTGGCGATTGTTGGCAAGGTCAATGACGTCGTGACGCCTAGTGTACTCATCATCACCAGTTCAAAGAACACTAAATTACTACAGCAGACAAAATGCGGATGTGATATAAGTATGTTCTATCTCATACATGTACGTGACGCCTGTTAGTCGTATTCAAAGCAGCCCCGAAGAAATACACAGACTTGGCTTTCAAGTGTATGGCTTGCGATAGTTATCATTACGACATTGAACGTGAGAGCGCAAATATCATGGCCCAAAACGGGAAGAAACCAGCCGATGGCCGTAAACGGGTTCTCGTCGTCGGTGCTGGCGCTGCTGGGTATGAATGAATCGAACTCTCAACAAGATTCGCGACCTAACCAGATCACAGCATGTCGACGGCATATCATCTATCGCAGCATCGAGATAAGTTCGATGTGACGCTCATCGACGCTGTTGACTACTGCGGTGGACAGGCCTTCTCCATACCCCTTGAAAAAGAGCGGTACGGGGCGTCGTGGTGTAATCAAGGGGTCCAAGGCGGCTCCTACATCTTCCACCACACACTTACCATGTTCCATCGACAAGGATATCACGCCGATCCTGTGAACCTTCAAGTCTCTTTCGGCAAGGATGAAACATTCTGGAGTAATGTGTTTCCGACGAAACTATTAGCTCGTCATCAGAAAGAGGTCAGGCGACTACCCACAGTGCTCAAGCTGATCCGATGGTTTGAAATCCTGTTCGCCCTACTGCCACTCAAATTCGTCTTCAAGTTGTTTAGATTTTCGGAAGAGTTTACCAACACGATCGCTCTACCTATGGCAGCTCTCTTTTTAGGTACAGGAAACGCAACCCCTGAGGTCCCTACCATCATGTTCGAGAGGCTATGCACATCGCCGACCTACGGTATGTGGTATGCGCCAAACAAGACTACTATCGTCGATAACCAACCGCCGATGGTCGTCTTTCCGAATTTCTCCGAGTTTTATAGTACCTGGATGAAGGACCTCGTCGCGCGTGGTGTGACAGTTCGCCTGTCGACGGAACTCACCGAGATTGTCCAACGTAATAAGCGCGGGGTCGTCGTTAAAATCAAGTCGCGAACTCCTGTCCCCGACGGACATAACCCTACGGGTGGGGACCTTGACGCACCAACCAGTGAAGAAGCATACGATGAGATCGTACTTTGCTGCCTAGCTGACACCGCGAAGAAGGTTTTGGGTCGAACAGCAAGTTGGAAGGAGAAAAAGGTGCTAGGATCGGCGAAATTCAGCGACGACATTACTATCACTCATAACGATGCGGACTACATGAAGAACCACTACGAAAATTTCTATCGAAAAGACCTGACTGTCTCCGAGTTGAACGGAGTTGAGCAGACGTCGCGTCTCGCGTTCGCGGAAAACAACTTCCGGCCTATGTATTACATCAAGATGTATTCAGAAGACAAGTCGAAGCTCGAGATGTGCTTTGATACGACGAACTACCAAAGCCAGTTTCCCGACAAGGTGCCATTCGAGCAGCACGTATTCCAGACCATCTACTTGAACAAGGAACGCGATAGCAAACTGTGGACAGATCATGAGATCAAAGAAGAGAGAATTATTAGAAAAGACTGGTGGCATCAACTATGCCATAGCTATACGCACTATCTCTTCGTCATCCCGTGGATGATGTTCCTCCAGGCCAAAAACCACACCCGCTACGCTGCCGCCTGGACATTAGTCAACGCGCACGAAGTGGCAGTGATGTCCGGGATTGCGGCTGCCGTAGATCTCGGGGCCGAGTATCCCGAGGACCTCGAGAGCGATAGGTTCGCGTTCCTGTGTTTCCGGCTGTACTACCTTCTTGCCTACGGCAAGTGGTACGGACGTAAATACACCAAAAAACACAGAGAGGCTGTGACTCAGGCCGCGAAAGAAGGCAGCGGATGGGCAACCGGTCTGTACGGAAGCGTCTACGAAGGGCCGGGTGTTTCGACCATTGAACGACAGACCTGGAGAGAAGAACTGAAGAAAGGTGCCAGCACTGCTAACTTGGCTGATGGGAATGCGCCCGGTCGTAGTCAGCCTTGAGGCTGAAAACATGAGAGGAGTCTCGTGATTGAACTCGAAGCATCTGATTCGTACAGTAGGAGGTGAAACATGACAAATGAGTAGGGTTCTTCTGAGTTGGAGCATGGTTTAAATGTAATAGAAGTTTTATGGCCTTGGTTGTCCCTATAAACACGAGCCTTACCTTTGCACAGCCTTTGCTACGCCACGGCCAATTCATCGCTCACGAGAAGAGCCGCATAATATTAGTTAATATAGCCACTGAAATCAGGGAAACGCTATTTTGGTTCATTCATCCACTTACAATGGTCGGCGGCGTATGCGGCATACTTAACATATATTTTAGTGGATTTCATCCCACTATACTTCGTATTTTGAGAAAAGACATCTGCCTCGATGCCAACGTGTATAGTCATATGTGTACCCCCTATCCGGTACATTGGTACGACAGACGTGTATAGGGGGAACAGCGAGCAGCTGTCAGCACCCTGTTCGGTGGACCATGGTGCCCGATTAGGAACTGACAGGTGTAAGCTTAGTCTTAGGTGAGAAAAGTCAGCCTGATGGTACGTCTCTCGCTCTCCGGCTCCGCTATTTCAGACTAGGCCGAGTTATTTCTCGACTATTGAAGATGACTCAAGCAATTTCTAGGATATATATCCAATACATCAACCCGAGATGGAGCAAGACACTCACCATACGACGCCGGCGCTCGGGCGGCAGCCAGTGACGGTACGGCCCATCTCACCAGAGGAGACATACGCACTGCGACACGCTGTTCTCTGGCCTGACAAGCCGATATCTTACGTGCAGCTACCCGAAGACCTTCATGGTCAACACTTCGGGGCATTCACCAACAGCGACAACGAGAGCAACCCGGAATTAGTGAGCATCATATCGCTCTTCGTCGATGATAGTGGCGAAGCACGCTTTCGCAAGTTCGCCACCGCGCCCAAATGGCAGGGAATCGGCATCGGGTCCGTCCTACTAAAGTACACCATCGAGGCGGCTGTCGAGTTAGGTGCCACGCGTATATGGTGCGACGCCCGAGAAACTGCCTTAGGGTTCTACCAGCGGTTTGGGATGAGCGGTGAAGGCGCCGTCTTCTTCAAGAGCGAGGTGCCATACCTTCGCATGTCAAAGCCGTTGCCCTGAGGAACGTCTTGCTTCGATGGAGACCCCTTCCCGTTGGCCATGCGGCGGGCAGCAGCAGCAGCGGCGGCGGGGGTGGGATTAAAAGGTCCAAGGGACAATCAAACACTAAAAGGCGTGAAGTTAGGCGGGCGCGTTTTCCACTCGCTCACGGGACCGCCGGGCCAGCCAATAAATACCGCGCGACGCCCTTGAGTATCGATGATTGGGAGGACGCCGCGGCCGACTGCACTGCTGTGCGGGCTGAGCACAGGTGATGGCCCCGCGCTTGCCATCATCATTGGGATGCGGACGGTCTGGCTAAACTTAGGCGACGCATAACGGAGACATGATTCCCCTGGCTGACCTTACATATCACGCTGCCGGCCTGGAGTTCAAAACCACTTGCAGCCCCCCGATTTAAGCCCTTCGGCGCCGATGACGTATCCATATGTATTAGCTATACAATACTACCTATGTCTGCTGTCAACACGAAACCTAGGTAGTCAACGGCGTCCGAGGACGACATTGTGGGCTGTTGCTTCTCTCCTTGAAAGCCTAAGGTGATACAGCACCTCCAGGAAAGGGGGGTTTATGGTATGTATGTCATGTAAAAGACTGCAGAAGTCTACATAGGGGCTATGAAAGAGTCACGTGCGGCATTTAAATACGGGATCTAGACAGGAGGAAACATCTAGCATGCTTGGTACGGGCTTGGTTGGCCTGGCAATATAGTCTAGACGCAGGGAGCTACTGCGATGCAAGCTGATGTGTTTCCTTAACCAAAGTCGACGAGGCGAAAGCGTGGAGGCGGAGGAGCGCGACGACCACCCCTTTCTAAGGCATAAACATGAACTTTACAACTTCGGTATGAACTGGTATGATTCACACTTCCACTCCTTATGCATCTGTTTTATGCGTCCCGAGTGGCATACCTATCGGAACAAAGTTAACGAGATGATCCTGAGGAATCGATAGTACCTAAGGTAATGCATGCGAGTCCCGAAACCGAGCAATTGGAGAACTCTAGAGTTATGCTTGGTAATGTGAGATCTCGATGTGCGTCGTTCTACAATCTTCAAAACCTGTTACCATCTTGCCTGATATCATTGGTTTCACCAAATCTACTCCGATCGTAGCAAGATGCTGCAACAGTCCGAGGATCCCGTCAATCACCTCAGACGAGTGTCTCCAAGATCGAGACCTCGCCCTCTAACACAAGATCCAAACCGAGTACGCCGGGTGATATACGCATACGCGCGTATTAGAGATGTGAAATCGTTCATAATTGGGGCATGAATTACTGTGTAGATTTCATAGCATGCCCGTGTGTAGTAAAGATGGACGTAACTCGGCTGCAGTAGACCACCTACCGACATTGCCAATCTGGTATGCTGAACGGCACTCGCCCTATTAGCAGACAGCAACGTAAATCGTCCGGCACTTTCAGGGGCGGCAATAGACAATCTATCCTGGTCCATTGACCACTTGGAAGGACCATGTAGTCGCCCAAGGGATTCGCCTAAGTGACTCGCACAATTGACGACTCAATAAGTGCGAGACGGGGCGTGTCGCAC